CTAGGGGTGCTTAACCCGTACTTGGCATCAGTTAGCCGGCAATGTTGGTGACAAAGCGACTTTTACACTCCTCCCACTCTCCCCGCCCCCTCCCGCGTCTCCAGACATATCGTTAAACTTTCTCAGGGGAGCAGTCCTCTCAGGCAGCCAGGTCGAGCAGCCCTGGTTTGAGTGGAGAGATGACACGGCTGTCACTGAGAGCCCAGGATCCAGGCTATGGGTGTGGGAGCAAGGGCTGTCCCTTCTGGTTACTGACTGACCACAAACCAGACCAGCAGCTCCACAGAGAGGACTCAGAAACCTGTGGACACCCAGGATGTTCTCCGCTCCCCCATGGCCTCCAAGCACTCAGCAGTGGTGCCTGGCACTTCTGATTAACCTGTCCCCAGCAACAATGGTGTCCTGGTTGGATGCTGTTTTAAATCTCAGCTCCTCCGCTTCTGATCCAGCTCCCTGCTAATGCACCTGGGAAAGCAGCAAAGGGAGGCCCAGCTGCTTGGGCCACTGCACCCACATGGGTACAGTGAAGCTCCTGGCTTCAAGTTAGCCCAGCCTAGGCTGTCCATGACCATTATCGGGGAGTGAATCAGTAGATGGAAGATCTCTCTCTTTGTCTTTCCCTCTGTCTGTGAGTGTGTGTCTCCCTTTCTCCCTGCAACTCTTTCAAACAAACAAATTATATATATATATAACTCCTGGGCCTGGCAGGGACTGAGTGTTGGTGGATTTCATAGGAAGAGCTCTGGGGTCTGAGCCTGACTTTCTCCAGGACCCTAGTGTACTGTGTGCTTCAAAGCCCCTCCCAAAGGGAGGCCACTTCCCTAACAATAACAAACAAGCAGGATGCCCACTTAAATCAGAAACTTGGGCGAGCGGTAGATATTTCATGCAGCATGCTTGGGCTGTGTCTCTCTGCAACCCACCTTTACCTGGGTGTCCTATCGCTTATCTGGTGGCCCTGTGTGGGACCTTACCTCTGAGTTCTTGTCAGAATCAGCAGCATGAACATTGGCACGAGCTGTTCCCTTAATGCAGCTCCCTCGGGAGTAACGGAGCTGTGGACAAAGCATTGAACTTCTGAAAATGCAAATGGGAACGCTTCTGTTTTGGGTTGCTGTAACATCACTATAGTGCATGCCAGGCTGTCAGTAAATGGTAGTTGTTTTTACAGTAAATGTATGTAGGAAAACACCAGCAGCATAGTTTTGACTTTAAAAATTGTGAATCTTGTTTTTCTAATTATATGAAATATTCATATGCATTATGGAAAATTAGAGAATGCAGACCGAGGTGAACAAGCAAATAAAAACCACTATGTTTCCACCATTCAGAGATAAGCACTTTGCCATTTTGGTGATGTGATGTTTGGTTTAACATAGCAGGTTTTTTTTTCCCTTTCAAGTATGTATCCATATCATCTAAAACTGAATTTTAAACTGTGTAGTTTGCCCTTCCTTTTTCACTTAACAGTATGCCCCAGCACTTTCCCTCTATTCTTTTTAAGAGCTCGTGTTTAGTCATGCTTAATGTTCAAAGAGGTTTCACCCAGCACCTGTTGATGAGCTGGGGTTTTGTGGCTGTTACATGAGTCTTTGCTTTTCAGTAAAAGTTGTGTGAAAGCCCATCCCAAGGGCCCTCTCCGGGCAGTGTCTGTGGTTTGTTGGCCCTTATTTCTGCCAGAGCGACTTTGTCAAAACCCAAGCCCAGAAGGTTTTTCAGGCAGTGGGGCTGGCCCCAGGGCTGCTCCAAGGCCCGACTTGTCTTTCCTCTTGGAAGGGGAGCTGCTTTGTGGAAATGTACAGATGCATCATCCCTTTGGTCCTTCTGGTCCAGGCGGGATCTTTTATTATGTGGCCTCCAGATGGAGTGTGTGCTGGTCTTGTCACAGTGTGACATCTCCATTTACTGCCCTTTCATGGAATCTGCCAAGGGCCTAAAGTCTTCACACCTATAAAAGTTCCACTAGGAAACCTGGTGTGTGCACCTAGGGCCTGCCTACATGGACAGTGCAGCTGGCCACACCCACAGCTCCGCCTGTCCTCCCTGCTGGGGCCCCAGAAGCCACGGTCAGGGCTACTTTTGGGATGTTCGCATTTACTTGCTACAAGCTTCGGTCAGGTCCAAGGGCACTAGTAACTTTTAAAGATTTAGTTATTTTTATTGGGAAGTCAGATATATAGAGAGGAGGAGAGACAGAGAGGAAGATCTTATGTCTACTGATTCACTCCCCAAGTAGCTGAGCTGGCTGGTACTGAGCCAACCCAAAGCCAGGAGCCAGGAGCTTCTTTTGGGTCTCCCACGTGGGTGCAGGTTCCCAAGGCACTGGGGCCGTCCTTGACTGCTTTCCCAGGCCACAGAAAGGGAGCTGGATGGGAAGCAGGGCTGCCAGGACATGAACTGGTACCCATATGGGATCCTGGTATGTGCAAGGTGAGGACTTTAGCCAGTAGGCTACCTTTTGAGGACTGGGAACTGTAGCTCTGTTTCTTCAGAAACTGGGATTATGCCCTGACACTGATCTCCTCGGGAAGTGACTCCCCGCAGCTCAACTGTTACAGTGGAGGGATCAGCTGAGAAGAGCTGAGTCTGCCAGAGACAGCCCTCATGGGCACACAGAGATGCAGACCAGCCCTGTGTTATATATATATATATATATATTTTTATGTTTTGACATTTTTAAGCTCAGAGAATGTAGTTTGGTTTTATAAAGTAGATGCAGGCCAGATGGCAGAGCACATAAAACTGTCCAAACAAGTCCTTGTGCTTGGAGGCCAATGTAAAGGGCCCTTTACCTGTCCTCATTCTTGCCCCAGACTCTTCTAGAATATAATTCTCGGAGATTTGTTACAGTGGATTTGTGAGCCTCCAGCAAGCTAGTCTTGTTGGGAGCGCTGATGTTCTAAGCTGGCTGGGTTTAGAGGGGTAATGGTTAGGTCCCAACGCCCACACCGATCTTCCTGCCAGAGAACAGGAAGATGGGCTTGTGTTGTTCTAACCCTGCTGGCCATCTTGCCCGAGGTGCCTGGGCCCAGGAGGACAGCCAGGATGGTGCTGGCCTTGCTGATGCCCAGGCGAATATGCCAGTGAAGTGGGTGTGGCAGGTGCCAGTTAGCTCCAGCTTCAGCCGATGCCAGACCTGAGACCTTGGCAAGTTACTTCACCTTTCTGTGCCTTACTTTCTGCGTCTGTAAAATGGGTATAATAATAGCTCCTACCACATGGGAGTATTGAACTTACGAGTGACTTACCATACATTAAGCACATCAAATGCTGCTTGTTTCCTTGTTGGCTGTTACTTCTTATGCTTCATGTGTTTTGAGAGAGAGAGAATGCGCAGGAGGAAGCACGCCACCATCTAGTGCCTAGGGTTGCCTCTGAAACTCTTGCCGTAGTCTTCGCCCCTAAATTGACATTGTAATAAAGCTTTCTCCCAGTAATGGGACTGGATGAAAATGTCCAGCATGGCCGCCCACTGTATTCCCACAGCCCGTCATGATACCATCAGAACAGGGTCATCCTGACAGACACTGCCGCTCCTGCTGCACACCCAACACCACAAAGCTTCCAGGACTTCCCACAAGGCCAAGAAGTGGGCCGATTCCTAGAAATCCCGGCCTTTTCCGGGAAGATGCTGCCTCTGGTCACAGAAGGAGATGGCCCTAAACGCAGAGCCCAGCCTGAGAGGGAGCTTTTGTTCTGGTGGATTGAGCTCCTCTGTTAGTCCTGGTCTGCGTCCTGTCCTGCCAGATTTACCTGTCTTCCAACACCAGGGTTCTGGGAGTATAGAAGAAAGCTGTATGCACAACCTCATTTTCTCAATGTCGGGGGCTAAGTTTGGGTGGCAGAGAGTGACCGAAAGTTTGGCTGGCGGAAGTGAGTTCATTTTACCTGAGGAAAAATGTGGATTTCTAGCTAAATTGAATTTTATCTAGCTCCTGGCTTAATAAAGTAGTCACTGGGGAAGAAGCCCCAAGCCCCAGAGAGAGGAGTGTGGGAATTTCTTTTTTTTTTTTTTTAAGATTTATTTATTTATTGGAAAGTCAGATATACAGAGAGGAGGAGAGACAGAGAGGAAGATCTTCCAGCCGATGATTCACTCACTAAGTGAGTGCATTGGCCGGTGCTGTGCTGATCTGAAGCCAGGATCCAGGAGCTTCTTCTGGGCATCCCACACAGGTGCAGGGTCCCAAGGCTTTGGGCCATCCTTGACTGCTTTCCCAGGCCACAAGCAGGGAGTTGGATGGGAAGTGGAGCCACTAGGATTAGAACCAGTGCCCATATGAGACCCCGGCGCATTCAAGGTGAGGACTTTAGCCGCTAGGCCACGCCACCAGGCCCCAAGTGTGGGAATTTCTGCACTGTTCATGGCCAGAGGACAAAAGGGGTGAGGTGCCTGTCATGTGAGCCAACCCAGCGCCTGATGCAGACCTGACAACCACACAGCTTAGTTCCCTGAAAGGCCAACAGCTGCTGGTAGGGCTGTCAAGGGCCCTGCACCTGCTCCCAGCCAGATGGTCTTGTTCCTGTAGACTGAGGACCATTCAGTACCCCTCCCCGCTGTTCCTCTGCTGCCCATGCTCGTTAGAGCATCACCTGGAGTATTCTGTGCCCTCACGGACACTGCTGCAGCACAAGCCCAATGCACAAGCCCAATGGGCTTATCTGCTAATGCAAGAGATTCTCTCTCACTCTTGGTAAAGGTAAGGCACCTTACAGCAAGCTGTGGTTTCTTATTTAACCCCCTCTGGTCTGCAAGATTGATCAAAAATCTTTAAAAATTTATTTAGTTATTTGAAAAGCAGAATTACATGCACATGCATGTGCATGAAGAGGAAGAGAATGATCTTCTATTTGTTGGTTCACGTCCCAAATGACCACAGCAGCCGGAGTTGAGCTGGTCTAAAGCCAGGAGCCAGGAGCTTCTTGCAGGTTTCCCACATGGGTGCAGGGTCCCAAGTACTTATATCATCCTCTATTGCATCCCTAGGTACATTATCAGGGAACTGGGTTGGAAATGGAGCAGCTAGGACTCAACTCAGTGCCGCAGGCATCAGCTTTACCTGTTGTGCCGTGGTGCAGGCCCCAAGGTTGACCACATTTAAGAAGACAGCCCTAGGTGGGTGAAGATGCTGGCTAAGATGCCTGTGTCCAGTACCAAAGCACCTGGGTTCACATCTCGGCTCTGCCCTGATTCCAGCTTCTGCTTACTTGATCCCTGGGGGGCAGCAGGTGGCGGCTCACATGCCGCCAATGAAGGAGACCAGGGCTGTGTTCCCAGCTCCTGATTTTAGCCCTGGTTGATGTGGGCATCTGGGGAGAGAGCCAGCAGATGGCATCTTCCTATTTGCCTCTCAAACAAACAACAGTCTTAAGAATAGAAGAGAGCAAGCAGCTCCCGTGGCCTGAGGTGGGGAGACAGGCCCTTCCCTCCAGGTGGGTCAGGCTAATGTAGAGGAGGGTACAACTTTGGATTCTAACCATTCTTTTTTGACATAATCTCCTAACAAACAATGACATATGTGCATGAAGATGTATGTGCAAGGATATGTGTTGAGGGTCTATATTTGGAGAAAATTAAATGTGCAATAAGAGGTGACTGACTAAATCCATGTTGGTTTATCCATAGGCTGAAATCCCAGGCTATCATAAAAGGACAATGCATAGCTCTTCTATGTGTTGCTATGGGAAGACCATCCAGATATATCTCTGGGTAAGAAATATAGGTTACAAAATTACATACATACTATGAGCTCATTTTTGTACAAAATAAAACCATCCTTCTTTCTAAATATAAAATTGCATTAAAGTATTAACAGGTGTTTTCTTGGATGGGAGGGGATTATGTGTGAATCCTATGCCTTCTAAAATGTCTTAAGTGAGAGAGACGACTTGACTAACCCAAATGGATGTCTCTAGAAGTGAAAGGCTGGGCTGATCCATTGTGCTTGGGTAGAGGACTCCTGAACTTGGGAGCAGAGGTGCTTTTGGCATCTGGAGCTGGGTGTGACTCCTGATAGGCCTGCAGCAGGTGGCTCAAGCTCTTTGCCTTTTGGGGTTTTCATCTGAACAACGAGCTGTGGTGGTATCCACATCACAGCGGTTGTGTGGATATTTGGTAGGATGCCGTCTGTGGAGTGGCTGGCCCCTAAGAAGTGTTTGGTTAATCTCAGCGATTAGTGAACCTGCTGTCAGCTCCACAGGGCAGAGTCCATATGTGGTCGTGATGAGACCATTGACAGCACCAGATTTGGGTTCTTCCAGCTGTTCAAGGGGAAAATGCAAGTTTCATTTCTGGACACGTCCCAGTGGGTTCTAGGTGAGCAGATGGCAAAGGTACGTGAGAGACAACCATCAGAATCCCTTCTGATCCTACATTGAAGCCACTGGCTAGAGTCAGGCGAGCTGGGGCTGCCTTGTACCACCTGTGAGGGACACTGGAGAGTCGTTCTCTCTGGGGTCCAGGGCTCTCATCTCTTTGATGCAGCTGGTATAAAAATTTAAAGTAGAGAAATCCACCTCCAATTCCTGATGTTGTTTTTGTTCTGAATCAGGGACACTAATCTCCCTTCTTCCCTCTCTCCCTCCCTCCCTGCACAGATGCCCATGAGGCAGAGGGACCGGGCCTTACAGGGCTGCCACAACGCACATTCACCCTCCTTCCGCGACAAGGCTTTCTCACACCCTGCACAGGCGCCAAGGGCAGTGCCTGGAGTGGTGAAGCCAGGCTTCTGGTCAGATGGGCACAGCAGGAGGTTGTACCATAGTGCTATGGTGCTGCATTGTGCTCATACTGGCTTCCTTGAGTGTGCAAAGGGAGGAGAGAGGAGGCAAAACGCCCAAGCCCATCGTAAGGTGAAGAAAGGTGGTGGGGCTGCTCTCCAATAATGAGCAGGGCCTGGACTGGGGAGTGGGCGACTGGGACTTGCTGCTCCCTTTTTTCTCCAGTGATGTTGGGACAGGGGAGCTGTGATCCCATGTGTGTTAAAGGGAAGTGCCTAGCAGGTTTTGACCTCTAAGGTAACACAATCAGAAATGCCCAACACTGCCTGCCCCAGGCCAGGCACAGCTCAGCAGCTGTGATCATTTATTTCTTGTCTTTGGGCTTTCTGCCCAGGGCCTACTCCTGATTGGGGCTCTTTAATATTTGGACCCTGAGTGAGTGAAGAAATAAGAGGATCCCAGCCATCCAATCTCAGATGCCTGCCTTCTTGGAGACTGAAAGTTGCTAGGAGGTTCAGATATGTTGAGATGGAATGGTCTCCTTATGTCATTAAGAAGTCAAGTACTAATGGCAGGACCTGGGTAGAGTTGCCAAGGTCCTGGTTCTGGCTCCTGGCCAAAGGAATTGCAGGCCTTGAGGAGCGAACCTGCCTGTCACCTTGACTGTCGAATGGATGAATAAACATTACAACTATCACCATCAAAGCCATGAATATTAGTGGTCATTTTCTGTGGACTGTCACCACATCTGACGGGGTCCAGGGCTTGGGGAGGATGTGTTCGTGCACTTTGAGAACCAGCAGCAGGGCCAGCAGGAGAGCTGTGATGCAGGATGCCCAGAGCCAGAGTCCCAGGCCGGACACTGTGCTTTGGTCCTCACATAGGAAGATGCTGGCATGAGGATTTGCTTTTCTACTCCAATTTCCATTTTTCCATGAAATTTTAAAGTGCCTTCATACTGCTTCCAAGCTGGGAATTGCATTTTTCACAAGTTGAGGAAACATGGTTCATGATATGTACAGCATATTCCAAAGTCGATGTTCCATAAATAAAGCTGTATTACAACCTTACCACACTCAGTCATTCCCTCACTGTCTTCAGCTGCTTTGTTCTCTAGTTGTGAAGGAGCCTACTTGGCCTGCACAGTTTAAAATATTTGCTCTGGCCTATTAAAAAAATTTGTTTGCCTCCTCCTGGCCTTCAGAGAGAAGAATAGGATATGTCGGAGTTCTAGCTGGATAAGTTGCACCTGCTGTCTTGGAAGCAAGTGTGAAAGAACTATTAACACCAGAGACCCTCTTGGATGGCCTGACAAGGTAACACCCCTCTCAACAGGTGGATTCAGATACATTGTCATTCATGGCTGTGCTCTGGCTCTCCTGGGTTCAGTGGCCCTCACTGCTTGTACCATCTAAAGAGGAAGCCAGTTCACAAGCCTGTATTCCTGGTGATGTTCTCTGCTCACACTGTGGGCAGACAGGATAAGGGTGGGTGCCCACACTGTGTGTGGGAGGGGATGAGGGGCTTCAAGGGGTTTCAAGGTCCAGTAGCCCCCTCTCCACCTGCCTGGTGCTATGGGCCTCTTTTCCTTTCTTGGATCCATTTAAACTCCAAGTTTCAGATCTGACTCTAGAGTGTGGACAGGAAAGGGTGCCTTTGACCCAACCAGTTGAATCTGCCCAGCTGTGACACATGTTGAAATGCATCTCCATTACTGAAAATCTAATTTTGTTTCTGAAACTCTTTGCTGGAAATATTGAACTGGAACAGAGAATTCAATTTGCTCAAGTTCAAATGTGGTTTGCTGTCATCCGAGTGAAATGGGTCTCTCTCCCTCCCTTCTGAGTGTTTATAACCGCTCTTGGTCATTATAGTGAACGTTCCAGAATAAAGTGATAATTTGTTCACATCAAATGACTACTGTTTGCTTGCAACTTAAGCAGGTGGAGCTGGATTTATTCACATCCAAGAGTAAAAGGGAGTCATAGACTTCTGTTCTTAGACTCAGCCCTTCTGTCAAAGAGTGGAGTGGAAAAGAAGACTCAAGCAGGAAGCATAGTATGCTTTGATCCTTTTTTTCTCCTTAATGTTTCGAGTAAGTACAGATCATATTTGGCATCTGTGTTACTTGCTCCCCTACACAGCACCCACCACTCCCCTGCCGGGAGGCCCTAAGAGGTTGACCTGCCTACCTCTAACCACAGAGAAGGTTAGCCATCCGGGAAGCTGAAATCTGAATACAGGCGACTCGGAGGCTGCATTTTCTGGATTTTAGAGCAGCTGATGCAAGCCTGGACTGAGGGCAGGGCTGGCTTGTCGCAGCTGTTCATGTTTAGTAGCGCCCATATGGGGTCATGGAGAGATGAAATCAGGCGCATGTTTATTTTGGTACAAACGGTTTTGGGTACAAAGGTTCTTTTTATAGATAATGCATGGGTAGTGCATATCACAGACTAAAATATTTTTATTTAATTGTTATGTATTTTATCTGTTTGAAAGGCAGAGAGAGAGAGAAAGGGGAGGCACCTCCTTTCCACAGCTTTACTTACCAGATGCCCTCACAGGCAGGGCTGGGCTTGGCCAAAGCCAGGAGCTTGGCACTCAGTCAGGGTCTCCCATATGGGTGGCATGAGCCTCCTACCTGACCATCACTGGACCTCCCAAGGAGCACACTGTTGCCAGCGAGCTGGAATGCAGAGTGGAGCCGGACTGGAACTCAGGCAGCCTGAGATGGGATGCCAGCTCCCAAGTGGCCGCTGCACCGCTGTGTCAGATGCACCGCTGTGTCAGATGCTTGCCCCTTAGCACTTTTTTTTTCTCATCAATGTCTGCTACAGAGGCCAGGTGCTGCCCTCCCTCCAACTCTCTCCCTGCCCTGTAGCTCCTCGTGCTTTCTGGGTTAAGTCTTCACTGAGCACAGGCCAGCAGTATGTCCTTCAGAAGGTCTTGCTCACAATACCTTCTCTCTCTAGAGAGCCAGCAAGTAGACATGTCAGGTCCTGCCTATCACAGGCACCCCTGGTTGCCCTCAGCTCTGCTCCATGGCAGGGCTGCAGCCTCAAGCAAGATGTCAATGGTGAGCGTGGCTGCAGCCCCACCAAACCGTGTTTATGAAGCAAGCGTGGCCAGCTGTGGATCAGAAGCTAGGCTAGAGCCGGTGATTGGGCCTCCAATGAGTAGGCAGCAGATCGTAGGGATGTTGCTGATAGTGACTGTAAATTGTTATTTATAGGGTGAGCTGTGGAAAAGGCAGGTGGCTACCTGCTCGCTAATTCCAGGGTCCACACACAGATGAGATTCAGCTGCATTTTCTGATGATTGTATTTTCTTTCTGCAAATCTCAGGGCTGCATTTACACTAGATGAAATTTAATTAAACCCACAAAGATATCTGTACTTCTCCAACTAACTGCCTGATTTAGCCCACAGTTAATTGAAGTCATTGGAGAATTGGTGGAAAGTGGATTTCATTCTCTTCCAATCTGGGGCCCAGGACCCTAGTATTGCCACTGTAATCAAGTCCCGGGATTCTGGGACCTCCCCGAGCATCTGTCGGAAGTGGGATGGGTATTTAATTCCACTTGCCATTTGGGGTGACTCCTGTGGTGTGAAGATATCAGCTGCTCCGTCACCGGGGAAATGGGCTTTAATCACGGGTCTGTCAATATGTTCACCCTGCAGTTCGAAAAACCTCAGAGCTTTCGGTGTCATCAGGATGCCAAATCTGCTTAAGAATTTTCGCTTTATTCTCCATCTTTGGTATCTGCTTCTGGAACAGGCTTGAACTCAAGCTGAGCTTTCTACTGAGTCTTTGGATGACTTGAAGAAAATCCATTTTAACATCTCAGGGTTCCCGACCTGCAACACAGGAATGCTGCCAAGTGTCTTTTTTACCTGATATGCTTGTGAGCAACGCCGAACATGAGCAGAGCACCCTTGAGTGACAGACAGCATCCACAGTCATGGCTTTGTTAGATCACCACAATGACCCCATGAGGTGGGAGTTATTGTCTATAGCGTATAGACAGGGACACCGTGGCGCAGGCCCTGGAAGTGCTGGGAGTAGGGACAGGCTCTGGGCTCTTTAACCCAGGAATATTTTCTGCTCCCGTGTAGCTGCTGTAGTGGGACTGGCCCCAGGATGGGGGAGCTGCACCCCTGAACTGAAAAGTCCCCGATGGGTGAAGGTGGAGCTCAGAGGGGAAGCAGAGAGGAGAGCCTGCAGCTCATGGGTCACAGTGTAGAAAATTATCAGTGACCTAGGCAACATGGGGCTCCAGGGTTGACTTAGTGCCTCGACTGTGTCATCAAGGACTAGGACCCAGCCTGCTCTCCAGGATTGTCCCTTAGTCACAAAAGAGCTGCCATACTTCACACAGCTTGATCCAAGGCAGGAAGGAGGAGGAGGCCTTACCCAGTCACCACATGTGTCAGGGATGAAAACTTCTAATGAACCCCTCATCTTTCACCACCATACATCCAGCCCTGGGCCTGCCTAACCAAACAGAGGGTGCAAAATGATCAAACTGGGACCTGCACCTCATCTTTTTTGAGTGGGGAGAGGGGCTCCCCTTCCCAGGACACCACACAAACTGGAGGTTCTGTACTGTAGGCAAAAACTCTGGAATTGGGCTGATAGGGCAGTGTTACCAACTCAGCATCCATGTGGCCAGATCTTATTTTTTGGGAGAAACAAGACAACTGGATTTCAGTGTTAGATCTCTGAATTTCTGTATATTTTCAGCCTTAAGTCACAAGATCTAAGGTGGTCTAAGCAAACACCTTTGCCAGCCATGTTGGGCCCTTGTGCCGCCATTTGTAACTTTCCCTCCTTCTTTCCAAGCTCTGTCCCCTCCAAGGTTGGACACATCCAAGTTCTGAAACTTACAACCTTGCTGCCTCCCCAGAGCAACCCCATGATTCCTCAGCTTTGCAGGCTGCACCTGCACCCAGATGTCCCCACACATCTTGCCCTGGTGTCTCAGTTGTGAAAGCACCTGATATGAAATTAAACTGGGCTAGGGTACTTGGGTGATTATGTGATGGCGGCATGGAGGAAATGAAAGTCATTTCTCTCCCAGCCAAGTGCTGGGCGGGGCCTTTCACTGCCTACCACCTCCCCGCTGCTCCCAGATCTTATACTTTGGCAACAAATTTGCCCCCATTTAATCAGTGGCGTTTATTTCAGGCAACCCAGAGGCCCTGGCTGGTGGGAGTGTGTGTCTCTTGGCTGGTATCAGGGAGCTCTTTAGGAGGGAAGGATCAAGGGCACATGGGCAACAGGGTAGGACATGGCATGGGCTCAAGCCACTGGCCACAGGGAGGAAAATTTGCATTGAATTTTCTGGCTTGGGCCTGTGACTGGACCCAACCCTGGCCGTTATAGGCAGTTGGAACATGTGAGGGCCATGGCGGGGTGGGGCAGGACATGTAAACCACCAGATTGAAGATTCTCTGTCTTTATGTCTTCCAAATAAATCAGAAACTTTAAAAAGAAAGTTCTGGAAAGCAGCCAGGGTTGGAGGGGCCATGATCTTATCAGGAAGGGACATCCTGAGTGTTTGGCCTAAACTGCAAATTGCTCTGCTCCATGAGGCGCATGCTGATTTAAAAGTAGAGGTGAGGCTAAGAGGCCAAGTACACTCTGGCATAACTGCACAGCTAGGGCAGCAGACACCACTGTCGCATCCCAAAAAAGGACCCCCATGGAGCACCCCAGGATATGAGTTGGGCCCCTGGAGGGCTGCTCCCCAGGAGTGCAGGAGGATGGGAAGCTGACCATGGCTCGGGGGCATTGAGGCACAGCTCTGTCATCGCAGACCTGTTGGAAGTGGCTTCTTTGTCTGCTGATGTATCAAGCTGGCAGAAGCAGAGAAGAAAGACTGGGAGGTTTGCTCAGCTCCACACATCCTGCTACTCTGTGCTTTATTCCAGCCTCTGTGCCTACAACTAACTCCATGCAGGTGCAGCACAATGCCACCTGCTCAGCCTCGCAAAGCCCCGACTTTCTGTACCAGGGTTCTTCCATGCCTTGATCATGGCATTGGTCTCTTAATCTTGCGTGTGCTAACCTGGAAGTAAAAGGGTGCTAGCCACCCCTTGACCAGGGGGATGGAAGTTGGGGGAGTAAATGTGTCTTTTGTTCTTGTGACAGAGAACAATTGAACCAGCTAAATGTTAGATCTTAGCTGGATCCATGCGCAGTCACGCACAGTAATGACCAATACAAGCACTGACCCTTAACTGGTTTTCTTTTGTTCTCACACTCACACCCTTCCAGAATAGGAATCAAAGTTTCAGATTCTGCTTTCTGGAAGAATCCAAATAGAATACAGAGGTTTGAAATTCTACATTTTTCTTCTACATGTCTACATGTCATATACATACTCAAAAAAAAAAAACAAAACAGAAAAGCAAAACCTAAGAATACCAAAAGACAAGATAGGAATAAAAGCAAAATGATTAGGATCGGTAGAACCATAGGAAATACAGACACTGTTTTCTGCCAGGGACTTTGAAATAGTAATTATTAAAATGCTCAGAGCACTGAGTGATAAGGGTGAAGAATTTTTGCAGAGATCAACAAGCTAGGAAAGAATCAAATGAAGTTTTTACCATTGAGAGAGAAAATGTTTAAGAGTGTTTATATGCAGCCGAAGAGAAAATTATTAAACTGGAAAAGAGATCAGAAGAAAACAGATTAAAGCACAGAAAGACAAATGCTGGAGATAAAATTTGTAAAACACAAATGAAATAACAAGCATGCAATAAAATGTGACATTCTAATACTTGAAATTCCAGAGGAGACAGGAGACCATGCAAGATGTACCATTTAAGGACAAAATTGCCGATAACTTTTCAAAAGTGATATAGCAAAGAATCTATGAGAACATCAAGCAAACAGTAAAAAAAGAAGTCATCTCTAGTCAGACCATAGTCAACGCACTTAAGGCTGATGACAAAGGGAAAAACATCTAGTAAAAGGTAGGTTACCATCCAGG